CCTAAAAACCAACAGGGTACGAGTCGAATCCGGATACAATAAAGCCTCCTGGATTTCAAGTTTTGTACCATTCGGGAGTGTAAATGTGGCTTGACCAGAACCAACAATTACTGTGTCATGACCACCAATTGTCATAACACTTCCCTTACTCTTTTTGAGACTTCGGAAGTATTTAACTTCTCGTAGAATTGTGTTAGAGGCACCACTGTCCACTAAACAAATTTCCTCCTCCATTGGATTGTTTTTTGAAGTTTTCTTTTCCATTCTTCCCTTCTGGCTCTCTTTTCCGGCGACTGTCGCCGGCATGATTTGCCTATGCGTGCTCTGGGCAGAGACAAGTGCTGATAACGTGTGAAGAATGATTTGATCGAACCGTAACTTTCATTGATGATCCATGAGGATTATATACATAGGGAACCATTGCCACGAACGGATGCGTCCGATCGTTGGGGTCGTGGGAATGTCAAACGGATGCCTATAGCAACCGATGTCCGTTTACACAAGGGAGGATTATCTCTAATAACAGAATTAATTTAAATCCTAACAGGAATGAAAATATATTCGACGGAAAGAACATATGATCGATGGACCAATCAAACGATCGGACGCAATCTCATTGGGTCACTGTCAGATAACCAATGCTCCGAGAATAGTCTGGACCAGCGGTTTCGCGTACGTGAGAAGGACGCTGATTTTAACAATCCACCCAAAAGTTTTGACCAGGGCAATTGCGAAATGATTGCCGACGTCTCTTCGGCCGCTCCAGATCAAGCCTTCACCGGTAAGGTAAATTAAGGTGCAGTAGCTTTTTGCGGAGAAAGGTAAATAGATTAGTCGATTCTTTTGAGTAAGACCGGATGCATGCCAACAAAATTGGCCGGGACCAGTGGATCGTGATGCTACATTCTGTGATATCTTGGTCGATTGACGACTCTACGCAGCAAGCATGGAAATGTGTGAAGGAACATAACTGAGACCACGTATAATGACCGAAACAGGAAATTGCTAATGAAACTCGAGCTCCATCAAGCTCGAAATTTTAAAATTTATTTTTTTAGGTTCCGAAAGATCTGAAAAAAATACAAACATATCTTATCTTATCCGTTTGTTTTACAAATACATCCAAAGGTCTCTTCACCGAGAACTCTTCAGCAACAATCGATGAACGATCCTCCCAGCAGCGGCGGGGCGGTTTTTTTCTCTTTTAAACAATAACACTTGGACGATTACGGAAGTACCCTACTGAGCTCGAGCTCAAACGAGCTCTGATGAACAGTAAAATAAAGTAAAAATAAAAAATCATAAAATTTGAATATTTTTTTTGTGTGGTAAGCTTTGACAAATGTTTAAAGCGTTTGCAAAGTTTCGTCATGAGATCACATTCTTGGATGGCTTCGAGGATGGCGGTCTGCTCCGCCATGTCCGCCGTCTAAGCGACCTCGAACTCCGGCCATGGCGTCCTCCATGCATAAGCCCGCAGCCGTCTCCGCCGCATCGTCCGCTTCTGGATCCTCCTCCTTCGACTCAGGCGAATCCAGAGACAGATTGGCAGCGAGACGAGCGGTGTGCCTGGCCCGGATCTCCTCCTCAATCTGCAACCGGCGTTCCAGCGTCAACATTGCATAGTTGGCGATCCTATTCCGGACCATGGTTACGGGGTGGGGGGAGGGAGAGGGAAGTTGGTGGTGCGGTCAGGGCCGGTCTTGAGACTTCGGGGGCCCGGGGCGAAACTAAAACTCGGGGCCCTTAATACATACACCATAACAATAATGATCATTATATATATATATATATATAGGATGCAGATATTTGAAACACAGGGCAAATGCAACTGAATTGGAAAAAGATATTAAAAAACTAAAGGAGTCAAAAAAATGAAACTTTTTTGTAACTGACATGGGCTAGCGTAATACTCATGTGAAAAGTTTCGGGCAGAAATGACTCTCATGGTATTCTCAGCAAAAATAATTGCAAGCCCAAAAAATGTGAATGGTAACATTTATATAGTATTATCAATTTTGCTTTTTTTGTCCAGGATACCATGGTAGTAATTCCTTTGCAAAACTTTTCATGTATTTATATAGCACTACGCAAAGTCATCTTTGTTTAAAAATAGTTTCAATTGTTTTGACCCTTCTCATCACTTTTTAAATAAAAAATCAGTTCGGTTGCAATAGTTTCATTGGCTATTTCTGTCAATATGGGAGTGTTACCAATTAACACTTGAATGCATCTAAGAGTAATATTTATGTCACATAACCTGTACATATTACCTTAATATAATTCTACATCCCTCGATGCAAAGCAATATATGATGCAAAGTTAACCTAAAATTAACTAGCGGACTGTGCTGTGCATTCAATGTGTTAAGAGTGTTCTCAGGGTCACTTACATTCACATTTGCTGCCTGTATTCCATTAGCTGGCCCATCCATAGCTACTGTCGCAAACTCTATATCCGTCCAAGCGTCAGTGGTATTCTCAACAAATATATCAATGACTCCTCTTTATGATTTTATCAACTCATCCACAAATCCTTGCCGTAGTTCTGAAATCCAAAAAATGCAGAAGATCCACAAACCATTATAATGAAATATCTTAATATAATTGACCAATATAGATAACGAATTAGTGATTGATGATATTACCCGTGTACGTACAAAGGTTCCGGCTGCCAAGACAAGTAGTGTTAACTGCTGATCGATTGATGCCCTGGTTGGATCCAAGGAGACCCCAAGAGCCCTAGGCGAAGCATTAGAGATAGGGAGGCGATCAAATCACACAAAGGGGTGCCAAGCCGGAGCGCTAGAGTAGATCGACACTCTCCATCTCTCCACCGTAGCCGCCGCCGATTGCCGCTTTCGTCGCAGGTAGATTGTAGTCGCGTGGGTAGTTGCGTTGATAGGCCACGAGCGAAGGAAAATCTTAGGAAACAAGCAAAAGAAGATGAGAGGGCGACCGTAGATTGCTCCCGGGATCCCGTAACGTGTGCCCTTTGACTATGCGCCCGTACAGATACAGGCTAATAATCGCACGTCGCAGCAGCGAGAAATTGAGCCATGGGCTACCGGCTGAATGCATGCA